ATCAAATTATTAATTATATTACATAAGCACACGAAACGTTAATCGTAAAGTTTAGTATGACTCTTGTCCACAGATTATATTGTGCCCAATGGTTATATCATGAAACCATTATCTATGGTAACAACGGATTTCGAAATTCAAAAATATAATTTCATTAATGTGTTTGAAAATTATTAGATTAAATACTGTCTATAGTTTACGCGAGTAGTTCATATTTAAATAAAACACTTTAACGGTTTAAATTATTGGATTATTTTTTGTCATTATCATTAAACATAGTATCTACGTTGCTTTGTGTAATTTCTATTAAACAGCGTTTAATTGTATAATGACGGGCCATCGAATATAATTACGGTTAATAAGCAACGGGTCGCGTGTTCGATCCCCACCGGGTCCAACATTTTTCTAATAAAATGTTGCACTTCGTTTGGAAATCTGGATATTAATGGGTGTTAAGAATATTAATATTCCGTCCGGGTCACAAACCACCGTTCACAAATGAAATAGCCGTGCAGTTTGATCACGTTTCGGTTCCAGTTGATGGATTTCCGAATATCCAAAGCCAAAATAGGTCGACACTTTAGTTATTTAGTTTAGTTTAGTATTTCAACTACCATCAAGTGAACTTCATGCTTGTCTTTCCTCTTTCCTCATTTCTCATTAAAAAAAACTTATAAATATTGAATATTTCAAATAAACAGTATATACTTAATTATGTACAAAGCCTGTCCAAAAGCCGAAGTGGCTTCTCGATGTTTTTCTTTATTGACTGTAGAAGGCCAAAACTAGCTCATCTTTATTATTTTTTTGCACGACTCATGTTCGTTCGTTAATGTGTCGATGTGACGGCCGGTCATCTACAAGGACGTAATCAATCTTCAGGATGGTATGCGTTTACCCTTCATCTTAAGGTTTATGACTCCATAAGAGTAGTCACGTAAAAATATAAGGAAAATCATCGTTAATTAAGTCTATAAAACGGTAGCCATGCATGTAGGTTTATACATGTATATAAAACTGAAGTATTTACGTGTTTGTATGTCACGCATAAACGGTTCAAGTTACCCAAAAAATATGTATGAAGATTGATTCCTCTTTAAATGACCTAAAACGTCTACGAAGCTATATGTCTATCTTTTAAGATTAACTTGCAATAGCGACGTTAAGGGCCGCGACGTCGTAGGTAACAGCTTAAGTTAATAAAGATGAAGGGGTTTGCAAAAACGAATTTATGTGCACAAAATAACGATTCTGGCAGACGAAGTCGCTGACACAGTAATCTATACTTATGTGAGACGTAGAACAGTCGCATTTTGTTACGTTTTGTCTGATCAATTTGTTAAGATTTCTGTGTACTTATCGACCGAAACTGTGTAAGTTCCTCTAAGATTTATTAGTGAACTAGGATTTGATTTGTGTAATTTATGGCTAATAATCAATGCCTCGTAGATTCGATCCCCATCTGGTGCAACATTTTTTAATCACTTTATATTTTTTCCGAAAACTTTGAACTTCGTCTGTACTGTAATATCTACCGTCCATAAATATAGAGCCCTCATGTTTAATCGCGTTTTGGTTTAGTCTGTAGATTTCCGAATATCCAAAACAAAATGGGTCGGTAGCGCGTCTTGTTTGGATGTTATATCACCCACCATAAAATAAGTACCGTGCTTGTCTGTCTATCATAAAAAAAAATTATAATGCTATTACAATGCGCTCCAATTTCAGCGAAGATGATTGTCTGACTAAAATAACATAATATTTAATATTATGTATCGTATTTTTAATATTATATTGTTCATAATAAATCTTTGCTTTCTTCTTGTTACTTTATTAGTCCTCATATATAAAAAGTTATACAATCAACCAGCTGTTAGACCGCGTTATGAGGTCAGACTATGTTAAGAATTTGTATTTAACATTTAATTAAATTGTCGGCTTTGTGTAGTCGCTATTTCTAGCCAGCGTTTTTTCTTAGATCCATATTTGGCCATGACTTGTAATTCGCCCTTGCTATCACCTACGCAGCCTGAAGGTCGGCAGGCATCATGTATTGACCTTAATAGAGGCACAACGACCCCACTTGTTTCCGGGTTAGGGCAACGGCTTACACATATTAACATGTCAATTACGAATAGATACTATCCGAAGTCAATAGGTCTGAAAAAAATCCGCGCACACATATGTATATTTAAAAAGCATTAGCAGTTCGACATCTTAGGTAGATAGTTAAAAGGACATTTTTAATTAGCCTATAAAATTATAACTTACAATAAATACGTATTATGTACTTATTCGTGTACTTAATTTACGTGTTGTTGTAAAAAATATTTAATCGCTGAGGTCATTACTTAATATGATTGTAAATATCGTTTGTATCTTGGCAATAAATATGTATAATTTTATTGCAATATCAGATACCACGATATGTAGATGACTCACGACGTGGCTGAATATTGCATATTATGACATTTAAGATCTAAAAATCAATGTCTCGTGTGTATAAATTCAATATTAATGTTGTACAACCTCGCTTATAATAATCCAACATAATAAATAATATTATTCTTCCGGTGACCAGCAAAAAGTAGTCGAACAAAACACGTAATAACTTCCGATATTATTATAAGTGTATTTATGTCAAGATCTCTTACCACTGGCAAAGGTCGACAATTCATTCGTAAATTACACTTTAAATATATATTTTAGTGCTGAACGCAACGTCTGAAACGTGACGTAACTGTTTGTATGTAGTTTAAAGCTGACAATTGCAAAGTTAAATAATTAGACTATTTTGCAACTTCGACGTCTCGCCCTATATTATAACTGAACTTGTAAATAAATAATAATATAAATATATTATCTTTAAAATTTGTATAATTTATAGATTCGTTAAGAAATAAATAAAAATATTTGTCTGTCTGTCCGTCGTGATTCTACAGAGTGTTCAAAAGAGCGACATGACCGAGAAGAACACACGAGAAACTCAGTCCGGCTTTTTTCAAAATGTCTTTCAAACTAATACATTTGTGAGCAATTCATATCACTGTACCTACCCTAACACCCTGGTCGTGTTCGTTGACAAGTTTCTTACATGTGTATTCTTTGGTGTTCTTGGCTAATTGTATGATCATTCTTTATATCGCAACAAGAATACCAAAAGAGAAAACGAAAAACAGATTTTATGAAATACTAGGAAAATATTCTTCCCTAGAAAAACAAATGAAAACTTCAATAAAAGAACACATACGAACTGCACTAATACACTGCAAAATAATGCTCGTCAGTTTCGAATTATACAACTAATTAAAGTAAGATTCAAATGGTAATGCGCCTGCATTCACATTTATTAAAATTCAAATAGCTAAACACCAAATTAATGCCGGCAAATCTATTTTCCGAAGGCGACCGACTGTGCTGTGTCGTTTCGCAAGCCGAATTCCAACGAAACACGTCACTAAATCACGAGTTTCAAATCCTGGATCCTAGACGAAAATAATTCAATTGTATTCAACTTGCTCTAAAACGTTTCAGTCGTAATTGACATGCTATATACATACATGAAATAACAATATGTTATTTTTTTATGATACAAGCAGACAAGCACGGATTTACTCATATGAGTATTATTAGGCGTGTAAATTGGTTTACCATTTACCCAAGTTTCATTTCCTAAATTATGTTTGCAAATAAAAATTGATCTTAGAACTCTAGCTAAAAATTAAAAAATAAGCAAATTGAATAAAACATAAAAATGTACTGTCTCCGTTAAACACATAGACTACCTTTTTTTTTCGAATCACCTAAAAATTTAATTCAACAAATGAATAGGATTTAGTACTTTGCCTTTTTTATATGTATTGGGCAAAAGGGTTTAAGTTCGAACTACATCCGGTACAAGTATTTTTGTACAATTCGCAGATTAGAAAACACACTTTTTTTCGCAAATTCTCTCTCGTCTAGTATGTTTCATGTTACATTAATTGACAATAATACATTAGAGAGAAAGAGTGAAATCCCGTTTCTCCTCGTGGGGCATGGGGCGAAAACATTTACACAACACAACTTTCTTCTTTTCTGTCCCTTGCCCGACCGAAACAATGTATTGTTTCCCCGGGATTCCAACCCAGGACCTCTAGCGCTTAACGCAATGCTAGGCAGCACGTTCAACATTTACCTACAGAGGCGGAGAGCTACAAACAAACAGACAAGCAGTTTTTTAATAACACATTATTAAATTGCCTTAGGAACTACTTAAACTAATTGGAAATTTTTATTTAATTAATATATCTCCAACAAAAAGCACCTTAAATTAACTAGAACGCGTTATTGGTGTCAAGTACAAAACAAGAACCAAGCGTGTAATTAAATCCTAATGGCGGCCATTTTGTCTAATCTAACAATTCGTGTTATTATCAAAAACATTTTATTACTTTCTATACGCCAACAACAGCTGCAGGAACTGGCCTGCATCACCTAGATAGCCCGTGGAAAATATTAAAATATATAGTAAAACCTCTATAATTATAACAATCGCAACTTAGCAGATTAGGTAACCGTAGGAGGGTACTTCAAAGGGAAACTACGCTTCCCTTAGGCAGCAAACGATATTTAAAAAATATATATATATCGTATCAATATTAACCTGGTTTTAGTTGAATCATAGAACCCTTTTAAAATTGAATAGTGTCTGTAGTTTAATACATCCGAATAAAAAGGCTTTTGAAAACTTGCAAAGCGTCCGAAACGTCGGCCGTAGTTAAGTTAAATTTACTAAACTCATTAAAAATGCACTAATATATTTCGCGTTTTAAACCGTTATAAGTTTATTATTTAAATGTGTACTACTATCGTAAACTATGGACAATACACAATTAAAGAACTATTTAAATTTTTTAGATTTTTATATTTTGACTTATCTTTTCTGCTATCTGCTAATTCTTATGTTTTTTTTTAAATCTCTGAACTTATACTTCTGTTGTTTTCAGGCCGGGTGAGCGATGAAGGGGTGGTTTGACGCTTTCCGCGAGGAAGGTGGGCCGACCCTATACGCTTACCACAACCGCACGGCGGTTGCAGCAGACGTTCCAGCATTGGCGCTGGTCCTTGCTGCTGTGACACTCTACCTCGCGTTTCTTGCTATATTCCCCGGCGTCAGGAAGGAGGTGAGTTACGGTAATAATCCTTAGGTCATTTACTTCTAGAGATTTCCTTCTCGTAGGAAAATTCATCTGGTTCAAAACAGAACCAGATTTGTAAGTGATAGACGAGGGCAGACAAGGATTTGGTTCACTTGATGGTAGGATCTAAACGAGATGCGCTATAGACTATTTCATCTCTGGATATCCACAGACTGAAACAAAAACGTAATTAAACTCCACGGCTTTCACATCTGTGGACCGTGGTTCGTGACCCGGACGGAATTTCGACATTCCTACCATCCATTTAATATGCAGACAAAGTCTAAGTGTTTTAGAAAAATTATAAATTAATATGAAAAATGCTGAACCCGGTGGTGATCGAATTCACGACCCGTTGATTATAAGCCGTACATTGTTGCTTGCTAAAATTAAAAGAATTTATTGAAAGTATATGTACTAATCATCAATACTAAGTAGGCCATTGAGTCTGTAACATATAATACTTTTAAATAAAACACTTTAACAGTTTAAAACGCGATATATTAGTTAATTTTATTTGAAAATGATTTTTAACTTTTCCTTTTTGTTCCCTACTTCTCCTTTACTTTTCTACAACGGGCCGAAGTTAAAAATCATTTTCAAGTAAGTTTAACTAATATATCGCGTTTTAAACCATTAAAGTGTTTTATTTAAATGTGTACTACTCGCGTTAACTATAGTGAGTATTCAGATAATACTTGGCAAAATAGCCATAAGTGGTGATTTCAATCAGCGGATTTCCTAATGTTCAGAGTCCATCTTATTTTGATGATCTACGCCTTACGAACTTTACCTTTGAGTGAACACCGTGCTTGTCTGTCACCTCCTCAGTCATAAAAAAGGATTCGAGCCCTGGACCAAAATATGGATACAAATCTAAGTTTAATTACAACTAGAAGGTGAAAGAGAATGAGTAGATTTTTTTATAAAACGGTTTAAAACGCAACATATATTACTTAAACTTATTTGTTACTACTACGTGTCATTTTTGTATTAAGATCATATGTCCATACTTATTTCTTTCTTGAAACATTAATAATTATTGTTGCAGAGATTTTCCACATTCGTCATAGTCACATTGAGTTTGTTCGTCGGTACTGTCATTTTGGGTAAGCGTTTTGTTCATTAAAACTTGTTTAATCTTCAAAATCTATTAGATCTTATTTATCTCAGTATTCGATTTAGTTTAGTTAAACATACAACTAATTAAAATAAATAAATATTTGCTTTAGTAAGTCAGTAGAATAGATGCAGATAATAAATATAGATAGTAGATATAAATATTTGAGTTTATTGTCAGTTTATCTACAACATTTCACACAAGTTAAATAAAGCTGGCGATTTTTTTCTTTATTCAATGGCCATTTTAGATATATTATTCCTATGTAACGTGTTCGTGAAAACGAAGCTTTTAATTTAAATGTTGTATAACATGGACAAGGATTTTAGTGAAATCCCGTTTCCCCCTCGTGGGGCATGGGGCGAACACATTTCTGTGTCCGTCTCACTGATCCGTTCTTTTTAACTGGCAAGTAGTTTATCAGACTTCTGTAATGGTCAAGGATAGACCTATGGTCCGGACATGTCATCATTTTTTTTTCATAAGACTTTTTCGTGCATTGTGAAAATAATAATGTGTTTTATAAAATTGACGATTATTATAAACATGATGGATCTTGGACTTGTCAGGTAATTTAAAAACATTATTGAGTTTATTTATATAATTATAAACTTACTAGCTGTGCCAGCGAGAATCGTTATTTTCGGTGTCCAAATTAGTTTTTGCAAACCCTTATAAGTATACTTTTTTAGGTATCTTGAACCGTTTTCGCAGCGTACGCATCTGAAACCTACAGATATGAAAATCTTCCCCCGTTTTGATTACATTTCCCAATGTATCTTCGCGTCTCTTAGTCACAACGCGATAAATGCTCTAATCAACACAAAAATAATTTTTCAATTCGAACCAGTAGTTCCCGAGATTCGCGTGTTCAAACAAACACTTTTCAGTTTTATATATTAGTATAGATTAGTAAAAGGATAACCTTTAGAGCTAGATAATGAGATCGCTATGTCATCAAGATACGATCTTTCCAAGCACAATTGCGCTAATTGAGTAATCTTTTCAACAAAAGGAACTCAGATACAATCATGCCAAAATGCCGGATAACTTTAATTACAATGCTAATTATAGTGTGTGATGCGATAGCAAATATTACATCATGTAATGTAAATTTATTGTGAGTATATGAAGTGTGTTGATAGACCGCATTTATACCGTTAAAAATGATTTTCGTCATTTGTGTCTCTAGCGTAAACTGCTGAAAATTCTGTTTCTATGAAGAAAAAAAACATATATGGTGATTGATGGACCGCAAATAAATCTTTTCGACTCGCTTAAATTCTTTAAGTCTGAGTCAATAATATCGCCGGGTAACAATGAACGACCAATGTTTTAATGCAAATTTTTAGACGCCTGCAAAGGCTACACAAGTAGTTCGGAATTGAATCTACGTAATTATTAACCAAATTTCTCAAAGGGAGCGTTTACATGTAAATATTGCTGTTTTGATTATTTTATACAATCATGAAGTAAATGTGTACATCTGTTTTAAAAAGAGTTAAGTATTACGCATGTTTATTGTTTACGCAGGAATAAACGGTTTAAAACGCGAAATATATTATTTTTTAAATTATTTTTAATTTAATTTAACTATGGCTCGTCGTTTCGTTTCCTTTGCAGTGTCGTTGTCACAGGGGGTTAACCTACCTTACCTAAAAGTCAAAGTCAAATATGCTACGCTAACGCCATCTGTTAAAAAAGTGTTTTCTTTTCAGTCTGTAAACACGGTTCGTCATGGCATGTAGCGGGAGCTCGAATCGCGCGCGCAGCATACCGCGCCTTCTCTGCGGAACGCCTCGACTGCTGGCTGGCAATCCACGTCGGTCTTGGACATGTCAATGTTACTCTCACAGGTATATACCTACAACACACAACATCTGTATATATAAGGTCACTAGAGGAGACCACAGAGCAGCGTAATTTGACTTGAGTTATTTATATTTTCATAGTGAAAAATGTTAATCTACAAGATCATAGTGACCGAAAATTGTTAACGTAATTCTCAAACAAATAATAGTATCTATAAATTCATTTTTGCCTAAGTTAAATGGGCGTTTTTTATTATTTAGACCACTCTGCCTCTAGCAGCCTCAATTGGACTTTAATTCGTATCCTTATTTAGATCAATATGTAGGATATAATGTATTTTTTCGGATCTATTAGTTATATTTACTAAGTTATAGTATTATCTCTGATGGCATTTTTCATTAATCTATTATATCAACCAAGGTGTTTGATTTTTTGAATACATAAACCTATAATACATACATATAGAATAAAGAAATTGTAAATAAGTTAACTAATAAATACACTTCGCGTTCAAAAGTGTTTGAAACTTGTTAATATAACTTTTACACGACTAATAGTGAAAAAAGATCCAGATGTTTGTAACCAAATAACCGGTCTGTTACAAATAGTTCGATCTCTTATCATCACGAGCAAATTGTATCAGGTGGTGTGACTGTAAAAAGACCGTATGAGAACTGAACTACGTTTCACAAACGCTAGCTAAATACTTCATTTAAATCTATAGATCAATAAATTGTGAATCACATCGAGGGGCTCGTTGATCTAATGGTAGCAATATATGGCTAATAACCCACGGGTCCAACATGTTGCAAATTTTTCAGAAACATCATATCATTGTCTTTCGAGCTGTTCGGCCGATGTGAGCGAGAAGAGGTTCTCGACGTTTCGCCATCACGGACGGCAGAACCTCTTCTCGCTCACATCGGCCGAACAGCCCGAAGGACAATGATATGCTGAACGATGGCCGTGATATTAAATGAGTAGGAATATAGAAATTCCGTCCTGGTCACAATCCAACGTCCACAGATAAAAAGCCGTGAAGCTTAATCGCGTTTCAGTCTGTGGATTCCGATTATTCAATGGAACAATTCGACATCTTCGTTAGATGCTATAGGCTGGGGTATATTGCCTACCATCATGCTTAGACAAGCATCTCAAGAATAGACATTCTCCTCTATGATAAAAAAAAAACAAATTCTCTACTCACGTAAATCTACTTAACATATCCGCTACTATTTTGTAAGTATATTGATATAATTTTCAGCGCTCTCGTGGGGCAATATAACAACAGGTGACCCAGGCGTGGATTATAACGAGCAATTCCAATGGGAAGAAGCTGGTGCTATTCAGGAGTGGTATCGAGCTGGTCTCTTGCGTGGTCTACCGTACCCTCTGCTGTCAGTAGCTGAGCATTTTGCAGTGGAGCACGAAGGCTTTGAATGGGGGGCGAAGTACCGCGCAGCTGGATACACTACGACAACTCTCCTCTGGTATGAATGTGCATGTATGTATTATTGCTGTCGGTGATGTTGCAGGGCTTAATCCATAGACAAGTCAAATATTTCTTGGGAGGAACGAATAGCTTTGAAATCTTAATCATCACACGCTAGCATTGAGTACAAGTTAAGAGAAAGATGTTTCTTAAACAAATTCTATTTTGTAAGGTTGAAAGTTCTATTATAAATCTTAATAAACTACTTTGATTTCGATGTCTAACGTCTTTAAAATAGCCAGAATAGTATTTTTTAAAATAATCTTAAGGTCGTATTTATGTACTTATATCATTGTATAATTTCTGTGTGTATATTCTTTGGGGTGGATTAAATTATTTGAATTTAAACTAAAAAATAAAAATTTATTTGATAAAGTCCGAATTGATTTACCTATTGATGATATATGAGTAACGTACAGATTTAAATAAAACACTTAAACGGGTTAAAACGCGATATATATTAGTTAAACTGATTTTTAAATTGTTTTAACTTATTTTTCAATGTGTACTATTCGCGTACGGACAGTATCTAACGTATGTATTATATATATAAACCAGTTTTAGTTCATTTTGGAGACGAAGCACTTTCCTCATTACTTTAAAATCAGCCCTTCTAAAGCCGCCCCTTACAATATCACCAACTGCATAATATTATTGCGTAATTAATAAAATATGACCTAGTCATGTATCTTCCAGGACGGCATTCGCGTTATGGCTCGTTATGAATCTTCTCCTTGTGGTGGTACCGAGGTATGGTGCGTACGCGATGACCGTTTTAGGCGTGACCTTATGCGCGGCAGCTGGAGGTTACTGGGCCTCTTTACCTATGGATCCTCTCGTAGTCAGATTAGATGGTGCAATGCTATTCTTCTCGATGGGGTGGTGTTTCTGGCTAGTCCTTATCGCAGGTACGTTCAGCACCTTTTTCGTACGTCAAAGCCTTAAGAGAAACAATTTTTTCATTGGTTCATATATATGCAGAACATGTGATCAGTAATTAAATTAAGAAGATAAACCATTCATAGTATGGTCGCGGTTAACGTAGACACTTTACATTTCTAATCATTAAGTATTTTCTGTAGATTAGGTGAGTAGAACACATTAAATTAAACAATTTTAACGGTTTAAAACTTAAATTGATTTGATATATTGTTGATGACTCAAACTTCGGACGTTATAGAGCATCTCATGGGGAAGGGGGAGGATGGCATACACTTCTCACTTAATCGGATAATCGTGTTCTGATGTTTGTTGGAACGACGTTTACATTCTTTTGTCGATTTCTTCTAGCATTGTCAATCTTTTCTCTGATGGTTCTTAACACTATTCTTTTCTTTTCAGGATGCATTTGTTTAGTTGTAGGATTATTAATAGCCGCTCTAGATCTAGTGTGGCCGCACAAATTCTCTACAGTATTGGAAGTGGACTATGACACGCCGTATGACCGACACGTGCTTATTGTAGATAGCCGGCAGAGGGCCAGACCTCAGGCTCAAACGTCATTACCTTCTAGGATATTGAGGTAACAAAGTCGTTCTAGACTAACTTTTAAGAAATCGTGCTTTTACCCTATTTAGGGATATGCATATAGGAATGTTAACTAAAAGCGCATACAGATTATAGAACCATAAAAGGGGTGGGTGTCATTTGATCTAAGGGAAAATACCGGATATATTACGTTTAAACAAGGTGCGCTATCGATCTATTATGATCAAGATTATAGTGTGATGTTGCTTTGAACCATTTTTTAACCGTCATTATGTATATAAACACAATTATCAATATTTTGTTTGTTCCAGACGGCTGTCTTCAAAAACTCGAGATACGGAGCGTCAAGTATCCATGTCAATAGTTAATGAGAACCGGGAACGTGGCAGAGACAATCCCGCCTTCCAGCATGAGCTACGAAAACCTAACTCACCCTGGAGGTATCCGTTATTTAGGCGGCAAATTGACCGGTAATTATGTTCATATCTTATTAGCTCAACTAGATATTAGACGAAGTTATATACCGACAAAATCGTCTGTATTACCTATATAACTAACAAACTAACTTCTCAAGCGAATACAGACAAACTATAATCTTTAACAACAATAAATCTTGTTTTCATATCTCAAACAGCAATGACAACTTATATCCGACTTATATATATAACAGTAATAAGTATAATGTCGTCGTCGTCCCTTTTTTATTTATGTCACGCAAAGGATAAATAAAACATGGCTTAGTTAAACAAATTTATGCCAATTTTTCAGAGTCGACTCTGCGTCAAGTATAGGATCTAGTATAAACGGCAATAGTTCCGGCATCAAAATGTCACCATTAGCAACGAAAACGTCTGCACCTCACAGGTAATTCGCGAAAAATAACGTCACACAGGCCATAAAATATTACAAAAAAAGAACGTCTCACGTCAGAAAACGAATGGAGACCTGTTTACAGTCTGATTCGCATTGAGATGACGTGACGTGATGTGACAAATAAGAACAATAAATAAGTATGGATGTGTCGATACATGTTAGTTGATGTGTCGCATCAGGAGCCATTGCAACTGTATCAAAGAGAACAAATTTTAATTACAGATAATTTTATATGCTATAATTTTTTTTCAGATATCGTCCGCAAATACCAGCAACGGAACGCGTGAAAGATATGTGGTAGTGCATACAACGAACTGTAAAAAGTGCCAACATTGATAGTAAAAGTGGCCCATAAAAATGTAGAATAATTGTTTTGTAAATATGTAAATTATTAATTAGATAGAATGGTAATGAACAACCAGTGTCATACTTTAGCTATTTTTATTATTTTCAAATCAACTAAATTCAAACATTTTAAATCAGTCTATATACATTATTCTAAGATCAATGTCTAAAGCTATAAAAGGTCAACATTATATTTATTAAAAGGCATTGCATTTTATATGTTTGTCTCCTTCGTTCTTAAAAACGTTTCAAAATCTAAATCATAAAAATCTAATACTAATAACTCAAAAGATAGATATTTTTATAATATAAATATTGCTACTTCAGTCACAAGTGAATACTTTGTGCCATGTTTTATATCAACTTGGAAAGTATATTCGTATTGTCTTAACTGAACATATTAAACATTCTGATTATCAGGGAATGAACTCAACTTTTTTTGTCACAAAGCCACGTTATTACAATCTTATTAGTAACTACTACACCTTTTCATTCAATTAACTGTAACTATTTTTACCTAATGTATCATTAAAATTTGTGATTATACTTGTACAAATCTTGTTTACGTACGCATAACCATACCTATATTAAAAAAGTTAAAAGTCATTTAGTATAGGCATTACACTTATAAGTTATTTATTACTTAAATGGAATTAGGTATTCAATTCAATGCTATTTCACAAGACGATGTATCAATAATAATTGTAAAGTATCGCGCTGTTTTGTGAATTAGAAATCATTTTTAAAAGTGAGAATAGAAAATGAATGTATTTATTGTGATTAATAATAAAAAATTGCTGTAAATTAAAATTAGTTTTTTTCTTAGAATGGGATTCAGGTAACATGATGACAATACATAAAAAATCTACTTATAAACATTCTTACGATACTTGCGGAACTTCAATCGGCAGCTATATAGTACTGTGTTGCTGTTGTTTATAATTCTACAGTTATTATTTAAACGAGTGTGTGCATACAATTATCAAAATGCTGTAAATATCTGTGATATTTCATCTTCCATCAAACGAACCTATTTACAGAGAAACAGGGTTATATTAGATATAAAAACTTCAAAAATAATATCAAGGACGTTTATTTCAAAAACTGATGTACATCAATAAAAAAGAATTTACCAAGCCTTAACATTACCATATCTATTTAGTAATAAGAATACAAAATATTAAATTCTCCACACTGCGAATACATTTCAGCAATTCTTTATTGAGTCTGCTCCTTGACAAGGTGTTCAAGGTTCAACTGGCACAAAAATGCGCTCCAATTAACAAAACCTTCCTGAACCACAGTTTCCGCTTCAGCCCAAAGTTTACACTGTAAATTATCATTCCGTTTAGACCTTGCACACTTCGCTAAAATCTATATATGAGGCTGCTAGATGCAGAGTGGCCTAATATAATAACAAAAACATGATTTTCAATAAGGAGAGTTTTTCAAAGATGCGCGAAAACTCGGGCGAAAATGAATTTGTACTATTATTTTGGTAAAAATTATGTTAACAATTTTTTGTTACTGTGCTCTAGTGACCTCATATATTAAATGCTGATAAAAGCAGATGTGTCGCCACGATTATTTAAAAAAAGGAGTATAAAAAAGGAAGTAACACAACATGTGTTGTAAACTTTTGTTTCAGTGAAACGTTGGGAAGAAGGAATACGTATTTTCAATTCTTACATTTATAATTTTATGAATATATCGTGTTATACGTAAGTGTGTAATAACACTTGGTGATAACTTGTACATAATGTGTATTTTAAATAAACATTCTTGTAATACTCACTTCTGTATCCTTAAGGGGCGGCGCATGTCTCACAACCTTCTGATAGTCACCTTCAGATAGATTATAAACGGGACGAGTATGGAAATCCAGGAATCGCAAAAGATCTTCATAGACAATGTTACAGTTGTCGTCTTTATTTAATCTTAAACGCACAAATACTATACATGAAAGAACCGCTATGTGAAACCGTATGTTTAGTTAAGTATAACGAACATTTTACGATAGCAAAATATTATTGTAGTATCATGAGTTAAACTTCTTTGTCCTTTGGTTAACCGCTTTTAGTTAAGCAATAGAGGTCCTGGATTCGAATCGAAGCAATCTTATCGACATGGCTATAACCTGGGAATAAAATCGATCATTACAACAGACACAGATGTTTGCCGCACGATGAAGAAACGGAAAATGGCACTGGTAACTTTTGGATATAAGATACGGATGAGCAGTCCTTACATCTGCAACATGCAGTCCATGAGATCGCTGTTAATCGGTAGTCGATTGGCTCTTAGCAACTGCCTCAATTTGGGCACAGGCAAGACGCCTAAACCGTTAGAATCAGCGTGTAATAACGCCTCCCGGAGTTTATCGCGGTCATCCCATAGACCCCGTGTTAGGTCCGAAAACACTAAGGATCTGGGAAGGCAGAGTTGAATTATTACTAATAACAAACATAATTGGTTAGGATTACTGAAGTAGCTTAGTGCTATTTTTGTCCTTGTCTTGTCTTTTCGCAATTTGCTTTAGCTTTTAACGTCTCATGGTGTCTTATACAGGAGAGTTCTGTTTCAGTTGGGTTGGGGGTCTTTAACGACTACCTACTACTATTGCATTGGGGGTTCCATTCCTACCAGGTCCGACATTTTTCTAATCAATTGGATTTCATCTGGAGATCTGGATATTAAATGGTAGCCTGTTTAAAAACCTTAAAGGCAGGCTGGACTGTTTGATATGAATCTGAACGCCAAATTATTACTATTTATATAATACTTAAGTTTTATCCGTAGGTACACTGACTATTTGTGATGCGAAAATATTGCTATAAACCTGATCATTTCACGACGAGGACTCTTCTCTTTTCCGGCATCACCGCGGAAGTGACGGATTAAAGTGATAAATTCATGTTCGGTCATTTTCTCACACATAATTTCCTTAAGCGCTTGCCTATAACAAACAAATAAATGATTTACGTAACTATTATAACTTACTTAAAGACTAAAGTTTTCTTCATTCGATTGAAGCTCCAGATTAATTGTCATTAGGAAAACTTACTTAAAACACTTAACAGACATTAGATCTTTGTTACTCGGCGACACAGCATCCATATATTTCGCAACGAAGCTCTTGTATCCGTTATCTTGAGACGCTAGTGTTCGTCGTATCTTGTCCATGATTAATGGTATATTTGCCATGGGATACTAAAAAAATCGTTTAGAAATGTATAATACTTGCCTAAACATAAACAAATTTAAGCCTTCGACATAAACATTGTTTAAATGCTTTGCAGCGTCGGAAACGTCTGGCCGAAGTTAAAAATCAAATAAGTTTAACTAATATATCGCGTTTTAAACCGTTAAAGTGTTTTATATAAATTTGTACTACTTACTCGCGTAAACTATAGACAGTATATAAACATTGTTTTTAATTGATGACAAAATTGTCAATCTTCACATTAAATATTATAGTACATTATGATATAAGTGCGGTAAGTTGAAAATTACAGCTGAGGCGATATTACTACCCCCGAGCCATCGGCGAGGGCTATAAGAAAGCAGAGGCTGTAATTTTCAAGCGAACGTATGTCATACGATGTTTTATAACATATTTACGAGGAAATGACGACATTTTCAAATAAAAACAATACAGCGAAAAGAAAAAGCGCGCGGAATTATTTTTACTTGTCCACAAATAAGCGATGCGCGCGCATCAACGTTTTTTTGTTAGGCAAAGGTACAAAAACAGCCAGTATTACTAATAAAGTAAGTTAATATTTTTGTGTTTTTGTTATAGATAAATGGTTGTAATTTATTGACAAAATTAATTAAATTAAAGAATGAAATGTTTATTTGTTATATTTTATTTCCCAAAGTTATTCATAAAATATTGACCACTTTCTTAACATAAAACCTCTTTGCTAAGAAAAAGAACACGTGCCTTTTACATTACATTATCGCACAAGTACGTAATGAGATAAATTACGATATTGAAATTGGTGTAATTACATCCACTTTACGAGCAAATATGTTATAAAAATGTGATAAAGTGCAATAATGAAATATTTGCCTGCTTAGAGCAAGAAGGTCAAAGAAGCCATAATTATAAATCCGGGTAACTAATTGTCTGTGGAAAAAATGATCCACGAAACAAGTCTGCCGTACATAGAAAAAACAGGCTTTACAAAAATAATACAAAATGCAAACGTATATGCAGTTCGTTTACCTCGTCTGCGTGTACTTCCAAATACCTTAAGGCATATTCATCAGCAGCTATAAGTCGGAAGCAGTGCTTATTGATGATCAATTCGTTGCCTACCCACATATCTTTATCTGTGTATGCCGGAGGCTCTTTGGGAACGAAAAAATTAACGTCTGGCAAGTACATTTTGTCGCGGCGGAAAAACTTTCCTCCCTACAATGGTAACAAAACATAGTAGATATCAAAGCACAATTCATTTGGTTCGCACAATTGGGGAAGATATAACATAGTGATAAAATACATTTTTAAAGTGATCTTGATAACATTAACGTTTTTCATCTCAAAATCATATCATAGCAAAGTATAACCACCTTAAAAGTAGGTGCTCCGGTTTAAGTATAGAATGACCTTTAAATTTCAAACAAGAATACATAAGATGTTACCTTAAAGCCAGAATTTCGCTCGCCAAGCTCAAAGATACCAATCGTATCGTCACACAGGAAATATTTTATGATGAAGTAACGTCGCTTATCGTCAGGATTGTCGGATATAAGGCGAGCAGCGAAGCGCAAGACGTGGGAATCAAAACCCACGCTAAAATTGTTTTTAATATAAAAGTAAAGACGAGAGAAGATCTTAATAAATTTTAAATGCAGATAGATTGAAACTTAAAATCATATCCAAACATACAATCATAAAATAAAATGCTACCAACCCGCCAGTGTCTTTTATAGGGTAGCTAGGTTAATTCGAACATATAGTATAACCTACCGATCCTTATTCAAAAATTTTATAAAATCCCTGTGCGGTGGTTTCGGCTCGACAGTTCGACAATTTTCGGCTGAATCCTCGTAACTTCCATACCCGTTCCACGGTGGTAACTGACGATCTGCTACACTCGTGCTCACACATTCTGAACCTTCCCCCTTAGGCAGTGGAAGGGGTGTAAAGGAATCTAAAAAGAGTATATTTATTTTTTTATCATAGAGGAGGACAAACAGACATGGAGTCCACTTGATGGTAGGTGATCAACACATAAAACATCTAAAGAAGATATACTGTCGACCTGTTTTAGCTTTGAATATCCGGAAAACCACACACTGAAACCGAAGCGCGATTAGGCTTCATGACTTTTTCACCAGTGGATGGTGGTTAATGACCCAGACGGACTCTATATCCCTACCAGATTTCCAGTCGACGCTTAGCATATATAGTATTCACGTTTACGAAGTTCTATATATTCTCATTAGCATATAGCATCTTTATGGCTTAGGATCATCAAGCTATAGGTAGGAGAGTACTAACCAAATCCATAAGTCACTCTGTAATATTCTTTTGTAAATGGATCACAGTCTGTTAACACAACCTTTCGTCCATACACGTTTATAACAGCCCCTATGCTTAGGTCGGCTGGACTGTATGATGAGCATTTTGGGCCACCAGTCATCTCCACGTGCGAAGGTATTTTCTAGAACGATAATAACATTAATCTAATGTTCGCGTTCAGTCTTAAATATCTATATGAGATACCGACATGGGAATGCCGTGATGGGGAATTATTTAGGAAGTGAAGAACAAGAAAGTATGTGCTGTTGCTTCTTAAACGTAGTTGTGAGTTGTGGTAGTGTCTTAAATTAAATATTCTTAAAACACATTATCATTTTTAAAGTTTAAGCTTATTAATTTCTCCCTGAAATTATTAATACTTATATAATTACTTACTCTCGGAATACGCATCCGTTTCAGGAACATGGGCCCCGCCTCCATTCCAGAATTTGGTGGGAGAACTTCCTTGATTTCGATCGTGTCATCCGCAAGAAAGTAGTGGATTTCCATCAGGTGCAAAAAACCAAACTCGGAGTCTCTATCATCCCAGTACCCATGAAATCTGTAAAAGTATATTTCTTTATTTATTGGTTATTATATATTATTTGTTTATAATAGACGACAGACAAAAAATACTTTAGCTATATAATATCTAAACCAGATGCGCTGTCGATCTATTTTTTTTTGTTTTGGATATTCGGAAATCCCCAGACTAAAACCATCTGACAATGGTGGTTCGTGACCCAGACGGAATTTCAATATTCCTACCACTCATTTAATATCCAGATTTCCAAACACAACTATTAAAAGGAGGTAGTTATGAACAGTATATCTTGGTATTATTATCTAGCTTTGACGTTGTCGGCGCGAACGCAGCTGATCAAGTAAACATACAAAGATAAGCGATACTAGATGGTGCATTCACACATCACATTAAGTTTATTATTTTTCTGTATTATTTTATTTTTGTGTTATTCTATACTTGTTGTATGCTAGTTTTATAGTTTCATGAATTTGATTTATTAATAGTTTTTAATTGCCATACATTGCTACCATTAAACCACCGAGCCCGTCAAGAGTTATATTATAATATAAATATTGTCAAAACGACACATTTAACAACAGATATTACTAAAATGTACCTTAAAACTTGTCTATCGAAATCGAGGAACTGGCGAAATGGTCTATGCTTCGGTGGTTTCCCTGTAGCCGGTGTTCTCTGAAATTCGTTTTCGAAACTGTAAGTAAATAATTTTTTCCTAATGTACATATAATTATTTGTTTCACACTACAAAGGAAGGATAATTTATGTGTCAAATAATATGTCATTTAACATACCTCAATAGCATCCGGCCAAGGTATAGGATCAGGGACATTTATGCCCAAACGATTCAGAAATACCCTCGTAAAGTTGTCGCAGTTTACGATCTATTGACAAAAAGCGTTATTCAAAAAAAATCTAAATAGAAGATTATTATTGCAAATTTTAGAGGCATACCTTGAAAACTTTTCCGAAAAATGTTACTTCGCGGCCAATATTTAAGTCAAGAACATCGTAATAACTATCGTAACTAAAAGGAAGGCGGATACGTTGTCGACTTATCATCGTACCTGAAAAACATAAAAATCTATTCGCCTCTATAAATAAAGAAAAGGTATATGATATACCTTTAACACATAAAAATACTTATACGGTTAATCCCAAATGTATATATAATATTTATATATTTTAACTACGATCCGACGACTGATGGCATGGCATTTCCGGATGGCACCATGCCGTGGTATGAAATATATAATAAATAAACCTTAGTAGTTTTATTCTAATCAGGAGAACTTGTCTCATTCATGGGGATTATTTAATAAGCTAACCTTGAGATAGGCCACTATTTTCAGTCTTAGGTTCCATCACCTTTATAGTGCCGTCTTCTAGGAAGAAAAATATTTCCACTTTGCGAAGAATATGAGAACCGCATCGCATTTCGTGAAGCGATTGTTGAAAAAATGCTTGAAAACGTAGTATCTGCGAAATGTTTACTTGTTAATATTCATATTTTCTTATTATTTATTATTCCCTGCACATTTATAACGTACATTTTTATCATACATTATCCATGTGGGTAGATCTGGCGCTTGCTTACGACAGTACAGCGAAGGTACTCTGTTCACACCTTCAGCTTTATCGACCAACATGTTTACTTTGTCGATAGATGTAAAAACGGGTCGCACTCCGAAGCTCTTCTTTCCTATCTGTATTTTTAGTTGTTTTAGTTACATTATCGTTACAACTTCCTTAACACCTATTCCAGTCACGTGAACGTTTTTCGGATTTTGTATTCGTGTCTTAAAATTGTTACGCAGAAAAACCCTGCAATCTCCCATAGTTAGCTCAAATTTTTTTGATTTTCAATTATTTATTCTTTCTATCACAATTAAGATACGATAAACATTCTACTACAGGCTCTAACTCCATCACTTCTCTTAAGAGTAATCGTTTATAACATGTTAGTAGTTTCTTGTATTCATAAGAATAAAATACAAACAAATGTAAACTACTTTAAAAAAATACGTACTAATGGATTTGTGCCATATCCAGGCAAAAGAGGTAACCGCGGGTTCCGCACTGACATTGCTTTTTATAAAAATAATATTATATAGGTATAGTTTGCTAAAAACTCAAGAAAAAATTAGAACAACGTTAAATAGAAAATGAAACCTGAAAATCTGTTTTAGTCAAAAATAATCTAACAAAAATATGTTGCCATGGAAACAATAATTATTAACAAGTAATATTATTGTCTGTGGTATACACAAAAATGACGTACTGACAAAATGTTACTGCTAAATGTGACAATGACAATTTCCAAAACAAACTTTAAATAAGCATAAATCTCTTAGGATGAAACTAATAGATTTTAAAATCCCTTTGCACAGAAATTAATTATTAATGTATTGCAAAACCTAACGTAATATTATAGAGGTGGCCTTAGCTTACAATTCGATCAACTCCAATATGATTGATACGCCGCATAAAATAGATTCATTCTTTATTTTTAACTCTAATTTTGGACCCAAAGAAGGAGACGTAAGTAATTAACATATGATAACATGGATAGTTTGTGGTATTTTAATTGTAAACGTAATCTTATCCCCAGGAACTTAAAAGGATTCTGTTCTTCTATCCAAACCAAATTAATACAGATGTTCGTAAAACTCAAGTTGGACTCTGTGAAGCTATCGTCCGGTTTATGACGTGAGTTTACTTTTATTTAACAAAATTAGTAGTAGTGGTAGTTTAGTTTTACATTCTTGATAAATATATATTTTATATTTATTGCAGAACATTCTCTTCTGAACCATGCGAGGCATTGCAAACTCAATCCAAGAGATATATTTTCTTTCAACCTGAGAAGAACTTTTGGATGGTTCTGGTAAGCTATTATTCCATTGCACATTTATTGGATCTAGTACTGCTCTTAACCATATATTTTGCAGGTCATAAGAATACCATATGCAACAAAATTATCTGGAGACAGCAAAGATGTTGTAAGTTATAATCTCTTTTGATGTAATAGTATCACTAGGTACATTAATCTCACTTTACTAAATCTTTGATTTATATTTATAGGTGGAACCATCAATAATGCAAGATTTTATGGTATCTTCATATAAAACATTCAGAATGTTTGTCGGATTATTTAAAGATATTCCACCAGAAGACACTTATGGTATTTGTGAACAATTCTTTAACCCAGTAAGTGTGAAGTTACTTTATGACATTCAAGATTCAGAAGCTTATTTAGCTTCTACAACTCTAATTCAATAAAAATATTTTTTATTTCCAGTATATTACCAGCATAGATGTTTCCAATGATTTAAGTAATATTATTCAGGGTATAAATTACTTGCCATTAGAGAAAAATTCATTCTTTAAAGTGATTTGTTTTATAGATTTACTGCAAGTAAATTATCCTCAGTTTAAATGTATCTCTTTTGTCTACAATGACCAGCTAATATGGTAAGCTCCATCACAAATCTATTTATTATTTATTAATTTCTAAGGACTGTCAACATTTTATCTCAAACACAGACATGGTATAACTTAACCTTTATTAGGTAAAAATATATTTTTTAACAGATACAACATTTAAAGTTATACAAATAAAACATTTGGAACAATAGGTTATTACTAGTGATGCAACGGACAGTTGTTTGGCCGGATACAGAATACCGAATATTCGGCCTCATGACCGGTCGAATATTCGTCCGGCCAAACGATACTAATGTACATTTTAGTTTGGCGACGGACGCGTCGTGCAGGTTTCAACCTGCACGACGTGTTCTCTTCTTTTATTTATTTGGTTACATTATTTATTTTATTAAAAATTAACATACGATATGTTACGGTTAGTTGCGTGAATACCTTACGCTGATCATAGGATTTCTTAACTATTTCAAATGAGGCTTTTTGATAAGTTTAAGTTGTATGTTAAAACTAATATACAAATATTGATAATAAACAACAACAAATTATATTTTTTTGTAGTATACATACTAACTAACCATTTTTCATAGTTAAATACCAAACAGAATCACTATTCGGTATCCGGCCGGATAGTGCGCAACTATTTGGTATTCGGCCGGATATCCGTTTCATCTCTAGTTATTACATATACACTCATATAACTAAGTAAAAATCTATATAAGAAGGATCACCAACACTCCTTGACTGTTGTGAAATAGCTTTACCTTTTGCTTTTGTCTCCATCTTACATCCTTTGTTGAGTATATACAAAGATTTCCAGTTCATTTTGAAATAAATTTTTCTTTAATATTTCATAATATTTCAGGAATGGATTATGTAAAGATGATATGCTCACACTATATCAATATTTAGTACATAGCTTGCTACCTAAACAAGTAGAGAAAGAAATTCAAGGAGGCGCAGTGACAGCAGCAGAACGTCATGGACGGTTTATAAGTCCTCCAGAAGGTATACATAGTGATGAAGATTTGAAGAAACTTAACAAAGTTTATCTGCGACGGGAGGATGATAATGAAACTAAACAGTATTATCTCGTAATTTACCGAACTCTGAGTGCGACAGTAAGCTTCACAGTTGATGGTGAGAGAAATGTTTCTTTTAGAATTCTTTTATATGTGGAATAGAAATTCACAGGAAAATTATAACTCTTTCACACTCAAAGGAAATATTTTTCCCTTCGGCCAAAATCGTACTGATTATTGAATTAATATTCTTTTAAATTAATGTCAAAATAAAATGTATGAAATTATAGTAAAACTTATCTACTCTAAGCCATCTTATGGTCCTGTAAGAAACCCCTATTGTTTTGTTTATTCTTGACTTTTGCTGTTATTTTTTGCAGTGGACACACATGTTGATTTTGCGACATTTAGAGCCCTCGATACCTTCATTGGGCCTCAACTATCCACAATAGCCTCTTCTATAGGTGAACAATGTACAATACATGCACTACAGAACGCACAGATAGCGTCACCAGACCACAAATTCTTGTACTTCAACAAACTTAATCTGGCTTTTAAAACATCTGTAAGAATATACCCTGTTACTTATATACCTTTGTATATTTAAGTGAACTCCCGTTACCCCTCGTGGGGCATGGGGCGAACACATTTTTGTGTTCGTTTCACTGATCCGCCCGAACGAAACATTTTTTTGTTTCCCTGGGATTCTTACCCAGGACCTCTCGCGCTTAACGCAATGCGTTTAACCATTTGGCATCTTCGTATATAATACTTATATAAATATTTGTGCTTATGTTTAGACACCCTCGAATTGCATGACGCCATCGGCTGCAGTGAAACCAGAAGTTTTGAACATAATTGCTGAAATACATCAAGACCACAAAAGGTAAGATTTGGTGACCTTACCTTGAGACCTAATGGTTTTTTTTATGATAGAAGAGGACAAAAAGTCACTTGATGGTAGGTAAAATACACTAGCCATATAACATTTAAATAAAATGTGCTCTCGTCCCATTTTGGCTTTTGACCTATATTGGGCTTCTGGCTTCTTTATCTGTGGGCGGTTGGGTGGTCCCAGACAGAATTCCAATATTCTTACCACCTATTTATTATTCATAATTTCAGACAAAGTCTAACATGTTTCATAAAAATTATTAATTGATTAGAAACCCACAACCCGTTGGTTATTCGACACACCTTGCTAATATCACACTAATAAGCCTGTCCTTATAGTCTACCCAATGACTTAAAATTATTGTTTCTTCATATTAATGATATATTTATTTTGGCTCCAGCCTTGGAAAATATGGCGAAATCATAATTAAAACACCAGATGAATACTGGATAACTGGTAAATCTTCGAATGATAGAGAATTTTATGTCGTAATGCAGAAAAACGCCAACTTGAAAGAGATAGCGGGTAAGAGAAGGTATTTTGAAATTTATTTTTCGATTGTTCATAGAGATATGCTGTTGATGTTTCTTGTTATCTTTTAGATGAAGTCAAAAGGATATGTGAGATGCAAATGAAGGGAATATTCTTTTATCCTATGTAATATAAATTAAGAAGAGATGCAAGTTTGAAAATCGTAAATCAGTAATCATTTATTTAACATATTATACAATAATCTCTAACAGTATTTTAATTGTTGAACAATTATTGTTACAATAAATTACAAATATATCCTGTTATGTACTACATCAGTTTAATAGATACTGAGTGCTAGTCCTTAGAATGCTTTTCATCCCCTTTTCTGAATACTTTCTTATAAGTCTTTCTTACAAGATCTCTGTTTTCATATCCCCAAGCACACAAAACACAAATGAAACATATGACCCCCACTGTTAAATGAGCTAACATGTTGGCATCATAAAGTTTATCTTCTGAAAATTTGCAAATAATACCAGCAACAACTAAAGTTACAATAAAAATTTTGCCTACATACAGCCCCTGTAAAGGCCTATAACTAGTATCTTTATATTTACCACTAATAAAATGGATACTATGTAATATCCTAGCAAACATGTTAATACAGTTCGATATGATAAAACCAACTGGCCCAAAAATGTAAGTAAGAATATATGATAAGAGTAAAAAGCTGATGGAAAAGAATACCATGAGATAATTGTAACTGTTAAGTTGTCCACTTGTCATAGTGGCAAAAGTATAGCATTCTGTTATACCATTGATAGCCATCAACATGATTGCCAAGCAGTGACTTCTAAGTAATTGAACAGGCAAACCACTGGATACAAACACCTTACCGCCATACAATGTGAGTAGCGTTCGAGAATAACTTTGTCCAAACACTAGGACTATCAATCCTATGGAACTAACAGTTTTACAAACTTGCGACAAAACTGTGCAAGACTCATAAATTTTGTGTTGATCTTGTTTGTGCAGTGGTAGATCACGATTTAACATTTGAGTGAAGTAAAAGTAGCTGCTGTCCTCTATAGGTCGGAATATAAATCTAGCCGCTAAACTACCAAGATTGTTAACAACATCATAAGTAGCTTGCTCACTAAAGGACATAACAGGGCTCGCTGACATGACATACTTTTCACCTTCAGTTAACAATTGCTTTACAACACCCTGCTTAGCAAAACTGACTGTTAATGTCCCTAACTTTTCATCAAAAGTGTTACTGAATGATCCCAGAAACTTAGGTAAAAAGTCTGTTATAGATGTGAACTTAAAATCATCCATATTGGAATACAGCTTTTGTAATATACTTTCAGGAACAAATTTACTTTTAAGAGCTCCTTTAGCATATAGTGGTTTATTGTTGATATACCAATAAAAGAAACAATAATATCCAATCACTATAGCGGCAATACTACCAACTTGTGCTACTGAAAAAGCTATAAGTGCAAAAGATCTATCATACAAAATAATGGACAGGAATAGGACAGTTCTAACAAAGATATGAAGTGTATCGAGAATAACCTTTAATTTAACAAAACAATAGAGCTGTGCAACAAGAACCAAATTGGTCGCACATAACTCTAAAATACAGGAAATAGCAACACTCCAACATCCAAATGTATACTGAGTTGCGAGTTCTGGGTGACCTAATGGCAAAATGTTTAACCAAATATACACAAATATAAGTGAAAGGACACAACTAGCAGGTACACATAACCAGGTCTGGTTGATTATTTGGTTCCAAGTGCAACTGTCTTTTTGTCCCAAACAAGCTCTATGAAATGGTTCTCTACTTAAAAACAGAATGGTACTTTCCAGTAACAGAAGCCGAACATTCATAATACCAATAACTTCATGGCCAACATTTCTGATAACCCAAGCATTTATAATAAATGTTATGCATCTAAACATTATTTGTAGGACAATATTAAAGGAAGCATTTTCTAGACTGCTCATTAAAAGATTTCTCCCCATTTTGAAATGTTTTATACATTAACAGCAATTCCTTCAGATGCTGGTGCTTGTATGCTCCGTTTTACAACATGAATCTTCTTATTAGATAAGCAGATGATAAACCAATGGTCATCATATGTTATGGATATCTTCTTGAAATGTTCATTTGGCCCAAAAGCCACTGGATCTACACTAGAAATTACAGATAACATAAATCAAATTTGATTCATAAATATTTACTTTGGTCTTAGAATTGAATAAGTTATAATGAGGTCATATCTTACCTGTTTGATATACTGATAAGATCTGTCACAATTGTAGCAACACGTTCGTCGTTTTCAAGCTCACCACCAGATTCAAGAACAGCACCGTCCTCGGTTAATATTAGATATCCTAGGCGGTCTGGAATTTTGTCCATTATAGCTGAAATTATAATACTTGCGGCACTTAAAAAGAAAATAATACTTAACAAATTTGACTATTATTTTTCTTTACCTTCCACGAAACTCATTCGTGTTGACAAAACACTGGTTATTCGGTAATCAAAATTAGGAACCTTTTATAAGAAGTAAAAATGATCTACTAATGTTATTTTAAAGTAAATAACTATATTAAATACCAGTGATATAAATAATAACAATATTATAGTTGGAAAAAACTTACTATTTTTAGTATTTAGAATTAGTTAGATCCTAGGTTGTCATAATTCAAATGTCAAAACTTATCTAGTATATTATCTGTAATTATGTTTTAGTATCATTATTGTTTAATAATGTAAATATACAAATATAGTGATTCAAATCTTAAATAAATTAAATTCTAGGGGCTTTTACATAAATAGGGCCTCTAGACATTAAATCCCAAAGAATATACTACTAGACTACTATTATTTACTAGGGGCATGGATTCATAAACTCAGGCTGTGAGTGTCTAGTAGTAGTAGTGTTTAAAAAATACGAGCTTAAGGCAATACTAGGTTTAAAAATTAAACTACGGAGACGGTCGTAAACCTCGCAAAAACAAATACATTGCATCAACTGATTTATAATAAGATCCCCTATGTTACGGGCAGACACCTATATATATCCCCAGATAACTAGTCCTTTTTTACACACATTGTTTGTCGAGTTTCGAACCCTTTCGCACTTTACTCATTACGCAACTAAAGAATTGCAAATGGTAAAAACTAAATGGATAGATTTAGGATATATTATTTATTTAACTTTCAAAGAGAATTGAAATAGCACATAATATTAGAAGAAAATAAAAGAATTAAAAATTGGGATTTTACTTCTACGCTAATCTAGAGTAAACCTTTTTTGTAGTTGATGTGACAGTTGACTTCGACCGTAATAATGTAATCTGTGAATAATCATAGCTATTGACGATTGTATTCATTAAATATTGAATTTCTAAATCATCCGGAATTTGTTTAAATAATCTTTCTAATGCAAAATTCCTTATTTTAAACAGACCCAGAAGTAATCGTATATTTATATATCTGGATCGAGATCAAAGGTAAGCGATATTATACTGTTAATTATGAATTATGTATACAATATAGTGACTTGTGCTGTATTGTGAAATATTTGTTTATATATTTTTCAATCAATATTACTTCAAGTATTTGTATCAATATAGTATCAAGACGGATAATTAATATAGGGTTGAGGGAATAATCTAAAAAGATTTTTGCTACTGTCTGAGAAGCAGCATAAGTTATTATTACGTCTCGTAGATAAAACCCGATATGGTTTACAATTATAACATATGCTGTAAAAATATCCTTTGTATTCATGAATATAATCGAAATTATATTTGAGATATTGAGAGATTGTTTTTCATCCTATTCTTGATTTTTTGATGTATAATATAATATATATATATATATATATATTAGGGGTAAAAATATAATATTTTTATTAAAGTAGAAGTAAAAACAAAATTATTTGTATTAAAATGAAATGATACTAAACAAATGCGTACGTTGTTGGTTTGTGATTGATTTTTTGTTGTGGACAATAATCATTGCATAATAATATTGTTATCAGTTGTAAGGGAAACAATATTGTATTTTAATGCAAGTCAATGCATAGAAATTATTTGAAAATTTAGAATCAAATGTTATTGCAGTAAAAATGTTGAGATTTCGGAACAAAATGGGGACTGAACACAGTAAGGAATGGCGTTGCTGTATGTGTCTTCATGTGCGTACTGGGACAATGCTACTTGGATCATGGCATTTGGTAAGTACAAATGATTATAATAAGAATTCTACTATGGAATTGTAAACTGTTATTCTGTTGCTAGAAAGGCACTGGTGGCATCTTACAAAACTGTTAAACATTAAATAATTTGTAATAGAAGTTTTCTTATCTGTGTTTGTTACTTCACAGATACTACACTTATTGGCCTTGGGATTCTTAGCTGCAGTGGTGCGAGACCCTGCTTTGATGGAAGACTTTGAACGAGAGCAGGAGGCGTTCGTAGATTGGCAAGATGTTGGTTCAGCATTGCCCACACCACAGTCCAATGTAGAAGCACCACCAAGCTCATACCCGCAATATGCTCTAAAACCCAAAGACCGTAGTTACATTTACCGTACGTTCTACAGCATTTATAAGAGATGTATTTTGTGTATCTAGTGTATTTGTGAGACCTTTTTTACAACATATCCTAATAATTATAATTTTTGATTTTGTTTTCTGACATTTTGGTATTCATAAAAATATGAAGCGCCTAATAAAGACGTTTTGAAATTGATTTTCTGCCTTCTACTGCACCTACAAGAGTCATCAACCAAAAAGGTGTAATGTATAAGGATAAGCATTGATTACTATATCTAATCTTTATTTTTGTCTTTTAAAATATCTTTGTTTACTTTTCTAAATAAATATCTTCATGTGGTCTACTTTATCTAGATGACATCGATGTTGGAGCGTTGGTGACAATTTGCACTCTTGCCATAACCCTGATGCTGATTTATGGAGCTGCTCGCGGAAAACCAGCCCACATTCTACCATTTTTCTGTCTTCAAATATTTGACTTTGCTATTACAGTGTAAGTAGCTTCTATTAATCATTTGTATTGAATTAATTAATTTGAAGGGGTGATGTAGTAATACTACATCACCCCTTCAACTAATAAAGCCTTGAATATAATATCATCATCATCTCAGAATCAATTCATTAATTATCAATTGTTTGGTTCGTGAAATCCTGTTTTGCTATTCAAACATAGCCTTTGTTTTAAATCAATTAAGGGTAGAAGTCCAAAGATTTATTTTACATCATTCTACACAAAAAAGAACACTCTCATCCTCCAACTTCCAAGATTAGGATCAGCGATTTCAGGCTTTGCGTTTACCCCCTTAGTCTAGTCTGTATGAAGGATAAAGTATTTTAAATAGATAATTTTTTTATGAACAAACTAGTTTGATAAGTATGCAAATGATAAAAATGTATGTGTAAAACCTATTGTTTTCATATCTCAGTTCTTTGTTATGCAATCGCCTTAATCGCTTGATTTCAAGAAAAACTACAAGCTTGCTTTATTATTTGCTGTGTCTATAGAAATTATGTTTACATAAATATAACCGACCAAGGGTTTTGATAGAATATCTTTAGATTAGATGCAATAATTTCATATTGTAAGCTTTTATATTATTTCAAGTGTTCTGTTTACATCTATACAAATATAATAAAGCTAATAAGTTTGTATGTTTGATCGCGCTAACCTCAGGAACTATTGGTTCGAATTGAGATATTATTTTTATGTTGATTAGAACAATGATCGAGGGAGATTTCAGGCTATGAAACCTCACTTTAAGACCACTAGGAGCAAAGAAACAGTGGGAAATGTCAAAAATATTCATCTTTAACGGTTTCCGTTGCGCGCGCTGCGTAAACGGTTCCAGATACTTAAAAAATATGTATGAAATAATAATCTATATGATGAAAGACGTTTAAAATTATGACGCATTTCTAAATGAACGTTATGTCATAATTATACGTCGGAAATTTTATATTGCCTAGAGTTTTTTGGCTTATACATAATTGTAAAGACTTCTGGTAAATGTTGAACGTCATAACATACTTAGACTATCGTAATTATTATTTACATAAAATACTTTTTGTGGTTCTAAATTACAGACTGATATTAGAAAATTTTGGTTAAATAGCTGTGCCCGTTGCGTTATTTGGGCCAATCGAAATTTGAATTTGAAAACTTCCTCATCTTTATAAATTTTACCTGTTACCCACGACCTTATCCGCATCCTGTCGTTCTTGCTAGTTCATCCTACAGAATAGACATATATTGTCGCAAAACATTTTTTTAGATCACTTAGAGGAGCATCATTTACCATATTACGGATATATACACCGAGAACCGTTTTCGCAACACACGCAACGGGAGCTCTCAAAGATGAATAATTTCACCGTTTTCCCCACATTTACGCGTGTTTATTTGCTCCTATTGGTCACAACATCATGTTTTTACAGCCGAAAGCCTTCCTCGATAATTGGAATTTCTAACAGAAGAACAATTGTTCAATTCGAACCAGTAGTTCCTGAGATTAGCGCGTTCAAACAAAAACTCTTCAGCTTTCTAATATAAGAGTCGTGATTTTTTTCAGACTCACTGGTATGGGCTACCTCTGCTACGTGCGGTCTATACATCGGCTGGTGACTGAAGCTCGTCGTGTGCCCTGGCGTGCCCAGCTCCTGACACTGCCTGCCCCGGCTCTAGCCTTCGTCATACTTTGCTCTTTCCTGTTCGCCATTCTGATTAAGGTATGATATAATACAGTGATTCTCCGTGGCCACGCCTACTGCAAATAACGAAACGTCGGGCCGTAATTAAAATAAAATAGTTAAAGTATTTTATTTCGATGACGCGATGCGATGTTTACGCGAGTAGTAACATAAAATTACAGAAGCTGTATGATAGAGAACAGACAAACATGGGGTATGTCTGTCCTCTATCCAAAAACCCCAGCCATATACACAAGATACGCAGTTGACAGGGGATTAAACTTCGCGAGTTTTTCATCTGTGGATGCTGGTTCGTGGCCGGACGGAATTTCGACCCATTTAACATCCAGATTTCTAGACGGAGTCCAACATGTTAAAAAAAAATTTGATTAGAAAAACGTTGCAACCGTTGGGGATCCAGTCTACGACCCGTTGATTATGAGTCAAACATTACAATACATTGTCAAAATACTTCGTGGCCGCTGAAAAAACATCAAAGCGACGATTTTCAGTTAATTAACTGACGCAATATAATTCTCGTTTGAACACGTTCAAACTAGTTTTAATCTGTATGATATCCATCTACATAATTTAAAATCGAGTTTAATGTAGGTTTCAATTCTAAAAAGTATAAAAACGAAACCTGCTTCTATTGCTTGTGACAGCCATGGTCACGAAACAGGCATTCTAAACATGGGATCGTGATAAGAATTAAGTTATCAATTAAATTTCGCGCTAAAACCCGTTAAAAGTGTTTATATTGAATGCACTCTCGCAAGATATTTCTTCGCTAGATAACGCGATAGTACTATGGCAATTAATAATTTGTCTTATGTTGTTCATATTCATATTTTTTTTAATAGGACATAGTTAAACAAGTATTGTCTAATTTACGCGAGGAGTAGAAATTTAAATAAAACTACTTTAATGGTTTAAAACGCGAAATGTCTTATCTAACTTATTTACACATAAACGTCAAAATAAATTGTAAATTTTCATACATGTCGCGTTTAAAAACCGTTATGTGTTTTTTTAAAACAACAAAAAACCCCCCAAAAAAAAAAAAAAAACCACCTGTTTTAAAGCCAAAGATTTGGTTGTTTGAACGCCCTAATCTTAGGATCTCCTAGTTTGAATGTAAACAATAATTTTGTGTTGGTTATAGCATTTATTGAGGAATGCTTTAAGTTATAAAATATCAGGATGTGACGTACAAGTAAGAGCTATAATTGATAAAAATGAGGAGTACAGTAGTTGTAAAAGCTAATTGATGCCCAAAAAAACTGTTCTACGCGGATGCAATCGCGAGCACAGCTAGTGTAATATGAAATATGTTCTCTTTTAGGCGTATTTCATCAACATGGTATGGCGCTGCTACAAGTATCTCACTATGCGGACTCATGCCCTAACCAGCCTAACTCCATTCGTGATCTCGAGTGAGGGGTCCGTCAGCCCCATCACCCCTTACACCCGTCCCGCGGTCCCCGTGCCACAATACTCCAGCCTGCTCCCGGACTACGAAGAGGCAGTCAAGCAGACCCCACCGCCGTCCTACCGTGCAGCCACTTTAATGGAACTTAGTACACCGGTGTTCAGCATTGTAAGTAAAATTTGAACCCCTTATAATAGTTGCGAGGGGAAAGTTGTCGACGATTGATTGATTTTTTTAAATTCTTGATTCAATAGTGACTCGAATTAAAATTATCCTAGTGTTCATAGATGGCTTGTCCTAGATTAAGAAGAATAAGTTAAAAATCCATTTTAGATTTAAAAAAATCGACTCGGGCAGAACTTTAACCGGTATCTTGGTCTAACCAATTGAGCTGCTGTCTCTTACACGTGTGCCTGAGAGGTGCATGGATAAAGGTCGAAAAAAATATAAAAAACCGTAGCTCAATTGGTTACACTAGTCATAAATATTTATTAAATACCGACCGAGAGCTATTCTGTCAAAAAAGTGTCAAAAGGGCTTACTTGAAAAGGGATGTTACTGTTTATGTTTTGCTACATGCTACATTCAGCTTATGTATTGCCTTTGAAAAATTTTTAGAGAACAATAATTATCGTTGAGTTTACATTTCAATTTTTTCTTTAAAGGACCAAAGTATATTATTATCGTAATAACCTTATTAATTTTAACAGCGCAATCTTGGGAATAAGGAATACGAGTCGGAGACCGAGACTCCCCCGCTAACACCCCCCGCTGACACCATCGTAGTTCTGCCTCAACAAGGGACACATGCTCCAGTGTAATTTCGTAGCGGCTAAGTTAATTTTTACTTATTCATACCCATTGGTTTAATATCCCACTTCTGATTTGTTTAAATAGTCTTACAAATCAAACAAAATTTAACGGATTAAATACGGTATTATTATGATAATGTTCAACTCACGAATTTTAAATTCACGTTTTAACAACGAAGCGGTTGAGGATGTTTCACTTTTTATTCCAATTTTGCCAAGCTACAGCACTATGAAAAATTTCACAAAATCCTTTTACATCGGGGCTAATTTATTTTGCAATTCCAAAGGATTTTTAATAGGGCTAAGAATTTTCTTTCGTTACATTTCTAAAGTATCGTTCACGGTTGCCAAAATAGGACATATTTTTTATAATTGAATATCTAACAAGAATTGTATAATATATTTCCTTATTTTTTTATGTTTGGGTATTATCCGTAGTATATCTCTGTTGATTTTACTTGTTTGTCGTTGCCTAAATCATATGTTGTCACTAAACTACATATAACTTTCGTGTGCAACCCGTTATATAGTTTGGGTCTAAATTCTACACACTTTATTTGAAAACATACAAATAAGGTAGTTTTAATAGTTCGATATCTCAATGTTCTAGCGAAGCTTAATATGCTAATGAAAAAAAATGTAGATGTTACCAATTAAAACCCCAGAAAACAATATTTCTTTTTATTATGAAATCATTGACATTCCAATGAATCTAATTTACGTAACTACGCTATAATATCCTAAATTTTAACGATATATGTACATTATAAAGGTGATCGCAGAATTGTCCGCCAGGTACGCGTCGCACAACGGACTACCACTGAGTTCTTAATGAAAATCGTTCCTTGTTGACAAATCTGCGAACACCTTAACTAAATGAAAAAATTGTAATGGTCGAATTATACACAGGTTGTTAACCAAACAATATATCTAAACACCCAAGTAGACAGTATTATATTTATTTTTGTATGGCGGATTTTAATATATTTAAAAGCTTATAGTTTTTTCAATCCGCCACATATTAAAGTGTTTAGATCTGAATCAAATTCACATAGAAATATATAAATAAATCGTATTTTGAAGGCAAAAACCACAAGCAAGATATTTTGAAAACGTAAGTAGGTTCCACAACGGCCTATGCGTAAAAAAATATAATTGTAGCAAATTTAGCACAGAGTATTGTTTTTATGTTGGACTGTACATTTCCTATTATAACGATACACTTAACCATATTTGTTGTATAGTAGACTAGACTTTAACTTAAGAATGCGACATTTATGTGTGTCAGAAATCTTAATAAATCATTGTTGACAAAGCAATCGTGTTTTCTTGATCCTTTTTATTAAAATGAAACATTATTTGTGTTGGGTAGAGAATTTATCGCGGAGGGCTAAGGCTATATATAAAACATTGCGCTGCGACTAATAGTAGTGAAGTGAGTTTCCGACGCGTACGCTGCGAAAGCGGTTCAAGATATCTAAAAAATATGTATCAAAGATTAATTATTTTTTAAATTATCAACACTATCGGCCTTCTTACAAAAAACACTTAAACCAGGTTTAATACAGAACTGCGGTGTCTTGGTTTAAGTGTTAAACCATGGTCTAAATGAATCGAAGTTAGTTCAGTACAAAAGTTAAAGTCTGTTTTGTAATCAGAATTTCAAATAAACCAGGGTTTAAACGAGGCTTGAGAGGTAGGCCTTGTTTTGTAATAAGAGTGTATATCTTTAAAGATTAACTTGCAAGAACGACGGGACCCGATCAACATAGTGGGTAACAGCCCAAACCGATGAAGAGGAGGTATACAAAAACAAATGTGAACGTCCAAACTATTACCTACCCACTTAATAAGTCTTTTTCTTTTCTCCTGTACTTCAGGTTGCTTGGAAGAGGTCGCTGCTTAGCGATAAGGCCGCCTTTGATTTATAAGTTAGTACGTAAGATGTTTTCTCTTTTTGTATGTGTAATATGGGTTATAAATAATAAAGTTATAATAAATAAAAAATATTTTACGTGAACGAAATCGCCAAAACAACTAGTTATCTGTCTAAGATGTAAAGGAAAACCCATGCATTGTCATGAGGCATCTCCGATAACTTTACCGGTTTTGCCTTTGAGAAATCTTAACTGCATTGATTCATAACACGGGTCGTGACTGCAATCTTCAACGGGGATCACCGACGTGCTTTCGAGAAACATGAACGGGGAAACAGACGTCTCCCATGCATTAATAATCACCCATTGTTAACATATTCTCAGGAATGCCTTCCCAAGTTCATTTATTTCGTAGTGCGCATTAAGATTTTTATGTTCCATAGTGAACTGTTAAAAACTTACACATATACTGTTGAATATTAATATATTATTATTTTTATTTAAATGACTGTCGATGTGTTGCAGTTAAATCTTAGGCGTGCACTAAACATCCTAAATTCGAATTCTTATATTCTCTCTTGACCTGTGGAAAATAGACATAACCAGTGTCATCTTTGGATGGATTTTTTTGGAGTTAACATCTTCGTTGTGGATGAAGAACGTGAATCCAGACCAAGAATTTAAGTTTCATTTTAGATTTTAAAAATTTTACGACACAGGATTGAAACTGGCGTTCCGTGCTGTTGCGCTTATCAATTGAGCTACCGTCATCGTCGTATTTTTCTAAACTATTGATATATGTACCTCTCGCGCAATGTAACGTCAACTGCGCTTATTAAGGTCAATGTCTTATGCTTCGCAGCATAAGAAAATCATGGAAGATGAAATTACAGAGTTTACTTGTTTTTGCACACGGTGGCACTATTTAATGAATATTTTTTAAATTTATAAATATAAATGTAGAGAATATGAGTTTTCAAATTTATCGCCAATGTTGTATTTTTTATATGAATTTACAAACAATGGTCGGACATGCGCGCGCCGCCGTCCCACGTTTATTTATATCGACGACCCTCCGCGTTCTGCGTTCGCGCATGCGCATTGCACCTCATAGACGGAAAGTGAAAATTGCACATCATGGTAACGTTGCAGTCCATATATTCGTGTAACATCGCTAATTAGTACAAAGCGAGCGTCGCAATACCGCGACACGAGAATGGCCGATGCCCGGCCGGCGTTGGCGTTAGTACGTGCATCAGCTGTTCGACCGGCGATTGACCTGCGTACGTGACATCCCTCGGCACCATGGCTTCCACCATGCAGCTGGAGTTTACGCAGGCGATGACCGACTTCAAGACTATGTTTCCCGATATGGACGATGACGTTATCGAGGCGGTGCTACGGGCGAACCAGGGTGCGGTGGACGCGACGATTGACCAGCTGCTGGCGATGAGCACTGACAACCAGAATGAGAGGCTGCGGCTGGAGATAGAGCGCGTTGAGAGCAACTCGCCGCGAAAGAAGGATAAACGCACTCGCGCGGTCGAGAACGGCGAGGATAACGACACTACGGCGCTTGTGTATGTTGACAGTTTTCCTTATAAATATAGATTAATATTGCATTTGCCACACTCATTGATGAAGGCATACCTGCTACATTAGATTCTCTTTACGCATAATTTAGAATTCTTTCGTAAGGGCCTATCATTGCAGATTGTAAATTACTAGTTTCTTTCTTGCTTATGTAAACTTAAAAAAACCTACTTCTTTAATACCTATGACAGGATTCAGGAAAAACCACTAAGGTTTGATTGCGACGAATAAAAATAGATACCTATAAATATCTTTAGTTACAAAAGAAAAAAACAAATTCATAAAGCAAATTTCTATATAAATACAATTATAAAACAAACATAATAAAAAAAACATATTGTATGTATAACTTTGACTAACAACTTTTAACACTATTTAACTTTTCTTTACTCATTACGAATAGTGTAGAATAATAAAGTATGTAAAATAAAAATGTGTAAAGTAAAACGTAATAACTTTACACGCTGGGACGTCGTGTAATATATTCCGGTGTTCGTGCCAAGCAAAGCAGACAACTTACACGCTGCAGATAGCTTTCCGACGTTAAAATTGATATGAATAATATATTTATCACATTAAAACAGAGTTATTATCCATTAATTTGAGTTACTTAAGAATCTTACTAATCTGGCGATACAAAATTTTCCCCACTTATGTGAATACGTGATCTACTTTTGTGAACCAACTGTCATTTAAATACTGTCTATAGTTTACGCGAGTAGTACACATTTAAACAAAATACTTTAACGGTTTAAAACGCGATATATTAGTTAAGCTTATTTGAAAATTATTTTTAATTCCAGGCTGACGTTTCGGATGCTTTGCCACCCCCCGGGGTAACCTTTTTCAAAAATTTTTATTATTTTTTTGGTTTTTTTAACCGTTAAACTGTTTTTTATTTTAACATTGGTATTTTTTAATGATAGAGGAGAATAGACAAGCCTGGGATTTACTTGATAGTATTTTGGCTTGTATATTCGGAAATCTACTGACTATTAGCTGCTAGCTACACCACGAAGCCCGTCAAAAGACTGATAGATTTTATACATCTGTGTATCAAGTGCATGCCTCTCGCCTTTATTAAATGATTTGCATCATTGCGCTCCTCTAAATAGCTAAAAGCTCATCTCCCCGTGACCACGGCTGCTGCAAAGCATCCGAAACGTCGGGCCGAAGTTAAAAATCATTTTTCAAATAAGTTTAACTAACATAATGCGTTTTAAACCGTTAAAGTGTTTTATTTAAATGTGTACTCCTCGCGTAAACTATAGACAGTATTTAAAAAGCTCATGTTTTGCATTGATTTCCTAATTGTATTTTATCTTGAGATAGGTGTTACTTGCAGAGACGTGGATGACGAGTCAGTACCGCTAGCCGTTCGTAAGAAATGGGTCCCGCGTATGCTCGGCCCCTTGCCGCCGATGTTCCTAAGAATACCACCTAATACGGACGCCAGGATAGATCTCAATCTGGAAATGGACGACGATCGTATCGCGACATTCCTGCAGAACGAGGAATTCATGGCTGAATTGCGATGGAACCAGGAGTTTATTGCCGCCTTGGACAGTGAACAGGGGAACAAAACGAAATGCCACGACGACGAGGCCGCGTTCAAAGAAAGACTGAAGAATATGGGCAAACGTAAGAGATAAGTCTTTTTTATGGCAGGTGGACATACAAATTCACTTCAAATTAAATTCAATTTTATTGCCATTTATAAACATACTTAATTATAAAACTTATAACTACTAAAATCAATAATAAATACATAATAAAAAAGATAACGATGGCAATCGGTACCATTCTCAGCTGTGCTGCTTGACACACTCAGCAGCACTGGTTACCAGACTGGCCCGGGTATATAGTATTGAAGTTTATACGATGCAATTATTTATTACACTACAGATACACTCATACTCTTTTCATTACACCATTTTGACATCGGCTTTCCAACGAGGTACATCTTAACATGCCGCATGTTAATATGTACTTGCTATGTAACACCTATACACGATGCGCTGTCGGCCTATTATGTACTTTCATTCAGTTATACAATTAATAATTATTATACAGGGGTAGAACACAACAATAAAACACTTTTAACTGTTTAAAACGAATGCACATTACTTCGCTTTGCTGGAAACTTCTGTTGCAAAGCATCCGACAGGTTGCTCAAATAAGTTAAATATTCTAGACTATTTCGTGTTTTAAACGGTTTAAATTCTTGTTTTAAAATTATCATACAATTACTCATGTCCGTTTATCTTAGATGTTGAGATCGTGGATATTGGACGCTCGACTGTACGGCGCCGCCGATCCCATTGTATTCAAAACACTATCACGCATTTCTGCTTTAAGTACTGTGTATTTAAAAAGCATTTAATTGCAGATATTAAACGCCAGGCTTATAATAATATATAGATAGAGAGAGGACAGCCAAGCGTGTGGTGTAGGTCACTTGACAGTAGAGTACCCCATACCCCATACCCCAGCCATATAACATCTAAACACGATGCGCCATTGACCTATTTTGGCTTTAGATATTCGAAATCCACAGACTGCAACCGATTAAACTTGAGAGATGTTTCATCTGACGAGGCTGATTCGTTGGTCGGATAGAATTTCGATATTTCTACCACACACTTAAAATCTAGATTAACAGACGTAGTCAAATATGTCTCGGTACAATTATACATTTATTAAAAACATGGATCCCGAGGTCAACAAACCCACGACCCGACGATTTTACCCCAACGAGGCCGTCAAAGTATTTATTTCGTTATTTATAATTCGATTGCGTTAAGTGGCTTCTTAATAAAGAATTAGTTTTCTTGTTGTAGTCAAAACTTAGTCTAGATATTCTCTTTAGGTGAACAAAGCCTATATGCTTTTACCTCAATATTTATTGACAATTAACGCGGTTTTTGTTTTTGATGCTGAGATTTTTCATTGGCATATACAAAAGCTTAATATTTTGTATTATTCCTTCGTTTAAATAAAATGACACAATTAACAATTTAATATTCATAATGCAAAGTTTTGGTACTAATTGCAACTAGGAGTTAAGATAGATAGCAAGTAAAAAATTCAGGCGTATACAACGAAAATAAGTTGGTAAACTTATAGTTTCTATGTATCATTTAGACACTAATTTATCTAGATCTCGCTTTGATTAATTCTGTAGGCATATGTTTCTTTACAGCGTCCGTATACTGCGTACGTAATAAATATTATTGATAAAAATATCTCCTTAACAGTTTCTCGGAAGAAATTCGCTCAGCTATCAAGGATGTTTAGCCGAGGCGGACCACGGCGCAGCGGCAGCGGTAGGGCTCCGCCCCGCGGCCCACCCGACAGCCTGCTGCTACAAGAGGAGCACAGCGACGACGACGACAAATCGCACACACAAAACGTCAAGATATAAATGTTTATCATCGCTTCATACAAGACTTGCCTTAATTCTGAGCACAAGGTTTCGCATAAGACTGGGGTTAGATAAGGTCGGATTTGTTATTGTTGGTTCGAGGAGAGATAACTGTAAGATTTAAAGATGTTTCACCACGCTTTATATGTATATATTCGTTGTACGTAGTGTTTAGAATACTAGATTTTTTCATTTCGCTTACTTTGTTTGGTTCATCCAAAGTTACGGGCCTCGTATACCATCCGAATAATAGATGTAGATTTTTTCACATGTCCCTTCAACATTGCCTAATCATTCATTTGACTGTAACTAAGTGTGAGATCCGTCTCAACAATCTCGTAACGTTATAACGTTTCTCCTCTTCTAGAAATAAAATATTAAAGACTTCTTTTTATGCCGTGTTTCATTTCTACACTCTAATATGTAACGTGTATGTACTACAGCTGCTTCAATCGCTAGATTATTAAAAAAAACACCTGGTAAGAACCACACTGCTATAAAAAGGTCGTAAAGATTATCCAAATTAAATAATTCACAAATGTGTCAATATTTATATAGTAAGTTTGTAAGCGTAACTGCTCCATATTTTAAAGTAAATAATTTAAATACAATTAATTTTACATAGCTTGTAACGTGTTTCTACAATAGAGAATTGAATTGTCAACTGTATGCCACGGCTACTGAAATTCATTCGAAAGGTCGGCATCGAGAATATTAAATTTGTTTTATTTAATCATACTAAACTACATAAACATTTAATATATAAGCCTCTTCATTTGTTTGAATGGCAGGTCAACCATGCTAAATCATATATAGTATAATACATCTTATTTATTTACAAACAATTATACTCTCTGCCCCTATTGTTATAACTAATGCATTCTCAAAATCGATCCATACTAATGATAGGTCTCAAACATTTTTATAACCTGTTGAATATTGAGCAAGTTATTATCATTTAATCTCTTTCTCGGAATACTTTTCACTGTTAGACTGTTTCTAAGGTACGCATCAAGTGATAAAATCGGATAATTATATCATTTTAACAGCGCGTCGTATTAGAATTTTTTATTAATAATTATTCTGAGTGATTTGTTTTAGTAACTCATAAATCGGGTTCGATCAGGCAAAACCAGTTGATTGACAGCTGTGTTATTAAACTAGAATGACTTTTTACCAAGCCTATACTTTAGCGCTCATTGAATAATATATTTTCTCGTGCTTATAATTACATCTATTAATCCAAAGAAGGTAGATAATGAGTAGTTAGCGCGGGGTTTTCTCGCATGTTCTATGTTATAATCTGTGGTTAAATTTAGCATCTTTATATTCTGTGACATGTGACTTTTTATTTCAAAGTTCCCGCCAAAAATTATGCTTCGTTGGATAAGTACGTCATATATCTGAGTGAGCGATGAGGCGTGGAAGGAGATCGTATATAACTGAAACTCTTCAATGAAATGCGACGAAGCGTGACGCGAAAGTCGCATCGCCTCGACAGACTAGCATCCCAGCGCTTTGTTACGCATCGCCCGTTTGATATTGTTATAGCGTAATTACCTAGATGCACGCAAAAGTGTAGATGTCAAGATCTGTCGCACAGATCATGTAATTATAACGCGATTTTGGACAGACAATATTGACTATACCTAGTGTGTTTTTTCTAACTTGGCATTTTTGGTAAACAAACATACAATTTACATGAAATCTGAAGGTCTTCTTCCAAGTTAGAAAAAATACAAATACATAAGTTATATACGATTGACAAAAATGTTTAATGCCCATGTCTGCCGCAGTAGTGGAAAATAAGTAAGCTAATATATTTCGCATTTTAAACCGTTTTATTTAATTATAACCGTTCCTTAAAAGTTAATGCACTCCAATAGAACAAATAAAGTGTGCGTTTATTAACACCTATACGTAATTTGTACCTCGAACAAACAACAAAAACGTTTTAAAATTTACGTAGAAAGTTACGTATTACGCAACTTAATTCATCACTTAAGCAGGGAGCTAAGTAAAATTGCTTTTAAAAAGGCAATAAAAATAACGACTTATCAGTAGATTTATGCATATATACCAAAATTATGTAAATATAATTTGCGTAAATAGGTTTCTTATTCATTTTACAAAAACGAAATCTACGTTGATTTAAATAAAACACTTTAACGGTTTAAAACGTGATATATTTCAGTTAAACTTGTTTAAAAATTATTTTTATCTACGTTTCACTTTTAACGTCGGGCCGTAGTTTAAAATAATTTTCAAACCAGTTTAAGTAAAATATATCGCGTTTTAAACCGTTAAAGTGTTTTATTTAAATTTATACTACTCGCGTAAACTACAGACAGTGTCTACGGTGATTATATATTTTATATTTATAGCATGACCGGTTGTACTCATGATAAATGTGAGTTCTAAAATATTTTCCTACCAAATCCTCCTGCTATGAACGGGCTTTGATGGGTTCGTTGGTGGAACAGTAGCAATATAAGGATAATAATGAACAGGTCATGGATTCTATGCCCACCGAGTCCAACATTTTTCTAAAACATGTTGGACTTCTGGAAATCTAGAATTAAATGGGTGGTAGTAATATATAGAAATTCCGTGCAGGTCACGTACCACCGTGGTTCAGTCTGTGGATTTCCAAATGTCCCCATGCTTGTCGGTCATCATCATTAATAAAACTAGCCATCTGGTAATATTCTTTATACTTTTATTCTCCGCTGTAGAACCTTGCCCGTTATCACAAATCTCAATGCTATTTTGGCGTGGGAAAGTCGTATGATTGACCACGACCCTGTTCGACTCTGCAATCAATTCACGACGTTTATTTGGGTCTTATCCTGAGGTTAATCACCTGACTATCTCGCAGGCGTTGTATAAAGCTGCTATTGTTATTATCCAAGTTGTAAATACTAATACAAATTCGTTATTTACCAAAAATATTGTACATTTCGCTGTAGGTTGTACTAGCCCCCACTAGGATTCGTACCGTTTTGAATAATATCAGTATATTTACCAAACCTTTTTAATTTATTTTTAATAGCTGTCCTGGCTATCGCTTTTTTTGCTATTGGAAGAATTTTGATTTTGATTGCAAGGTATTATTATAAAAACGGTTCTTGTGAGAATTCCTTTTAATTATATTTTTTGGTTATCTTAAATCGCAACGGAAACCTTCAAAGGGGAATCATTTTGTCCAATATTTTCACAAATCCCACTGTTCCTTCGTTGGTATAATGTGTTGCATCCTAAAGCCTTCCTCGATAAATAGTCAAACTAACACAAAATATTTTTTCCATTCGAACCAGTAGTTCCTAAGATTATCATTTCAAACAAACAAAAAACCTCTTAAGCTTTTTAATATGATGTGATGTCCACGAGTCACAAAAATAACCCACAAGTTTGAGATTATCATTTTTGAAATATTTTATTTTGTCTAATTGGAAGAATTCTTTTTTATATTCTAACGTAAATATATTTCAACATACCTAACTACATTTAAAATACAATCAATTTTAATCTCTGCTAATATGTTATTAATTATAAAACCTGGATTTAATTCCGGGGGAAATATATCAGTTTCGGTAATTTATTTACTATATAGTCCTCAAATTAGAAGCGATTAAATAAAGAATACATGATATCCAAAAAGTGAATCATTTTTAAAAACATTTAGATCGCAGATTATTATCGCTCTTGCTAACGATCAATCATCGGGTCCTTAGGCGAATTTTGTTCGAAACTTATTTTTGTAGTCGAAAAAGATTCTTCAATATGAAACCGGTGTCTGGCACGTGCATCGGACACGCATCACGGCCTGAAGACGACCAGTGTGCCTTCGCTCTCCACGGCATCTGTACGCATGGAGATATCGCATTTCCCGCGCAAAACCAATAATATGACAATCAATAAGCAAGTGTTTTGACGGAACGGTTAGTGCACCTGGAATAAACAGTTCGTAAGTATTTTTTTAAACGTGTTTTAAATACTGTCTGTAATTTATGCGAGTAGTACACATTTAAATAAAACGCTTTAACGGTTTAAAACGCGATATATATTAGGTAAACGGCCACCGCTGCAAAGCATCCGAGACGTCGGGCCATAGTTAAAAGTAATTTTCAAATAAGTTTAACTAATATATATCGCATTTTAAACCATTGAAGTGGTTTAATTAACGCGTTTTAAATTATTTATGTTTGTAATTTCGACACTTTTTGCTAATTTGTACTCTACCCTCGCGTTACAATGTGAGGTATTTTTAAATCTTGGTACTGTCAGCACATTTTGTTAGTATTGGTAATGTATATTATTAAAATACACCTTCAAAATAATTTTAAATTTTGTAGGATTATTTAACTGATATTGAATCCTGTTTTTTTAATTTCGTATATGTTTAGTGTGTATACTACCATATTTAAGTCTGTAATCTATAGTAGACCATAGATATATACATGTGAGAGGATCTTAAAATTTCTATTCAGTCAGTCTCATAAACTTGTATGCGAAATTTAAAATTCGAACAACGATAGATCAATAACAATTAATAAATAACGACCTGCATTTCTCCTATTGATTGAATAAATTCGAAAATAGAAGGAATTTACAACTCACCAACGGTCATTAAAATTGAGACTTGTTTCAAACTCGTTACCATAATGATCCTTTGATTCATATTTATTTTCACTTTTAGTTTTAAATAAGTTGCCGATTTCTATACATTTTTTCTATGGATGAGTACTAAGGCTATCTGACATTGAAACACTGCATAAATGTAGTGTAAAAAGAGGAACGCTACGCTTATGGAGCTCATAAAGCTCTATTTGGTCTATTGAATGTCTATTTCTGTATGATTTATAACCTAATATGTAATGTAATCGTATAATAATTTGCAACAAAAAGATCGACGTAGGGATCAATAAACTCGTTCACTTCTTTAGGAATAATTACATTGTGTTAATAAGGATGTGCTAAGTGAATAGCATTTCATGTCA